CCACCCTTTTTCGGTCGAGAACCATGGTCTCAGATTTGGAGGTGCTGATCCTCATCCCAGCCGCTTCACACTCGGCCGCGAACCTACCCAGCAAGAGCTGAAGGTAAGAGCTGGATGAAGCTAGGAGGACCACATCATCCGCAAAAAGCAGAGACGAGATTCTCCTGCCACCAAACTCGACACACTTCACACCACGGCTGCGCCTAGAAATTCTGTCCATAAAGGTAATGAACAGAACCGGTGACAAAGGGCAGCCCTGGCGGAGTCCAACCCTCACTGGGAACAGGTCCGACTTACTACCGGCTATGCGGACCAAACTCACGCTCCTCTGGTAAAGGGACTGAATGGCCCTTAACAGAAAGCCACCCACCCCATACTCCTGGAGCGTCCCCCACAGGGTGCCCCTGGGGACACGGTCATAAGCCTTCTCCAAATCCACAAAGCACATGTGGATTGGTTGGGCAAACTCCCATGCCCCCTCCATCACCCTTGCAAGGGTATAGAGCTGGTCCACAGTTTCACGGCCAGAACGAAAACCACATTGCTCCTCCTCAATCTGAGATTCAACTATCGGTCGGACCCTCCTCTCCAGTACCTTGGAGTAGACCTTTCCAGGGAGGCTGAGGAGTGTGATCCCCCAATAGTTGGAACACACCCTAAATGTGATGTGTATTTCACCACGGAGGCTGCGCTCCGTCCACTGTAGTGTAAAGCGAGACAATTATTAACAATATAAAGGCTCCGATGTATGATTACGTGTGTTAAAATTACATTATTTATTTATATGAGCGTCGGAGTTCAGGGATCTTCTCATTCCGGTGTGAGAGCAGCAGCTGAACCCGGTAACCACCAGCAACAGAAGCTGGTAGGGATCCGGACTTTTTAAAAATCAGCTTTGGTGTAAAGTGAAACCCTGTTTACAACATATAGTTGTAAATCCAGAGGGGTGAATTTAGGCAAAGTCAGCAACATGTTTACATCGGTGAACAGCTGCAGAGAGAACGTAAGTTAACGTAAGCTAGTTAGCATACCGCTCTATGAGCCCCCGCTAGATGCGTTACTTCTTCTGATAACTGAACTGGGCATGAAAGAATGCTAGAGGAGTTTGTTTTTGTTTTGATCGCAAAAACAATTTCAGGATCTACTTTTCCCTTTGTTTAGTACTCGTGTCGCTCACTGTTTACATGCTTTTGCCATCCAGCACGGTGGACCCACGTGATTAGGTGACGTCGGTGCAAAGGGTCAATATAAATATAGAATATCAACCTGCTTGGTCTTTGGATGTTTAATCCGAAGATTCTAGGATTATTTGTTTATTCAGGAATTGTAGAACACTTCGTCTTGATTCAAGGAAAGAGTCAGGTTTATAAAAGTAAGAATTTATTTTCCAAACAATTAAAACATGACAAGTTAACTAATATTTACTGTGATGGATGAATCTAGATGGAGGAGATGTGGTGTATATGTGTGAATATGATGTTATCAGAACTTTCGTATCGAGAAGAGCAGAGTTCTGAGCGTGAAAGGGAAAGAATTTGGTTTGCGTCAAGCTACGAGTTAATTATTATCAAAAGGCATCCAACGCTATCTCACTGTGTTCTACCTCACCCTTCTTGGAGACCCTCTTCGCGGATCCGGAGGTCAGGGAGGTCGGATGACCTCTGGGCACCCAGGTCCAGTAGACTGACCACAGCACTGACTACTCCAGTCCAGAGATGTCGCCAGGCACACAGGTTGGAACTAGATTGCGTCTTGGAGGACTCTTAAGGAGTTGGAACAATATAAGCTTTGTTCTGCAGGAACCGTTTGGCTGTGTCAACTGTAGGCAGCTTTTAGCAGGGTTTGGCAGCGGGTTAGCGGGTTCGGCTAAGGGTTAAAGAGGGGTCGCTCCTGATGGCCGTTCCGAAGCGCTCTCTAGAACTGCTGGATGATGAGAAGCTGGCATGCAACTCTGACTCTGACTGCTGAATCACCGGAGTGATTCTGTTTTAACATTCTCATATTATGATTTACTTGGCCAATCGGAACGTGCCATGTTAAGGACTATTACCAAGACAACCTCAGAAAACGCGTCTCCTTGAGATACCGGATGCTCTGATCTGGGATAAGAAGTATCTATGTATCATGACAATTAACTCAACTTTGATTTATCTCTAACGGGCTCGACACACTGGAGGCGACAAACGACCGCGATCAGCGAAATTTGTCGCTGTCGCTTTTATTTCCTGACACACGGGAGGCGATCCGCGGCAGCGGCCAGCGGCAAAGCCGTCTACGCGTTCCGTTCCATGACGAAATCGAAACTTCCGTTGTTTTGCCCGGCTGTGTCAGGTTGGAGGGAATTAAGGTTATTTAAGCGGTTCAGAGTTAAACAGTGGTAGATATGATGTTTCACAAGGTGCTGCTAGAGTTATGTGAAATCTTACTTCTGATTTTACTATAAAAACATAATAATAATCAACTTCTCCTCCATGTTTGCTCGGAGGTGTACGGAGCATCCTGTCCGCTCATTGGTCAGTGAATGAAACCTCCGTTGATTGGTCCTCGTCCGAGCGACAGTGATGAAAAGAAGAAAATGTTTCAACTTTCTGGGATCGTGTCGCTGGGTCGCCTGTGCACGACACGTGCACGAGCGCAAAATTTCACACGCATGTTTTTCGCGTTTCGCTTGGTAGGAGGGAGACCCGCGGTTATCGCTTTGTCGCGCATGTCTCATTGAAAATGAATGGAGGAGAGGCGATGTCGCCTCCCTGTGTGTCGAGCCCATAATGAACCTTGTGTCTGGTGCAGGTGACGATTGCCTTGTCATATCAAACATTACTGATTCATATACAAATCTTTCAATGTAATAATAACATAACATTCATTTCAAACACAGATTAATCAAAACATTATTATTATTATTCATATAATATTTGTTCATCTGACCATATTATCATTTAATGATTAACTCATAAGTTTTAAATGTTCACATTATATTTAAGAGGTCATTCTTTGATTAAGCAACCCATCTGAGCTGAGAGTGTTCACTTTATTCATAGGCATGAAGAGTCCTGTAGAACGATAAGGGAAGCTTGAGGCCTTGAGGAGGGAACCTGATGTTGACAATACGTTATCATGTGTTCAGAGCTGCAGAGAGGCTCTGAACCCCAGCTGATGGAATGAAGGCAGGCAGATTAAAAGCAACACATGAAGACTCCTGTCTCCATGTCAACCAGATATCGAAGGGTCAAACTGTACTTAAAAACTGACCATTACTGGACTTTATACTGGAATGATGTCACTGTGCTACTTAAAAAAAAATCCTTTATTAACAACTTTCAAACAAACAATTAAACAATTATTTGAAATAAATTAAGATTAATTACTGCTTTGCCTAATTATTCAAAGCATTAAGTAATCATCCTAAAATTAACTACTTTCATTTGAAAATATGTATTTTCAGAAAATGTACTTGAGCCTTTTTCTTCTGCAGCAGTGGATTATGGGTAATACCCTTCGCCCAAGTCTGCACCGGTGTGGACTTGGGTGAAATGTGGAACAAGGGTGCAAAAGGGGCGTGGTCAACAGCTGCATTTGAGAATCGAGACACCCTAGACACTCGCACCCCTGGCCGGGATCGCGCAATTGCTGGGCACGTGTGGACATGCGAGTATTGGGATTGGGCCTGACACTAGTCAGTGACTCGATGCAATCTGCTGGGTTCCTTACATAGGAAACCTTTTACTGACTGGCTCTATGGACTGAACTTTATTGGAATGTTTATTGTGTGAAGTGCCTTGAGACGACTCTTGTGGTGATTTGGCGCTACATAAATAAACTGAATTGAAACGTGTGGCATACCAGTCTGGAGGGAGGAAGAAGGTCTCATCAGGGAGTGTGGGACGGCAGCAGCTTTTCACTGTGTCACTGTTAACGGGGTTCTGCCTTCTAATCCCCAAATTCCACTACCTCCGCTCCGCTCCGGCACGAACGCCGGTGCAAAATCGGTCCCGTTCTAGTCAATCAGAGCAATTCCACTACTGCGGCCGTGCTCCGGCAGTGCGGCGCCGTGTGCCGCCCTCTGTTCCGGCGTCCGGCAAAAATAGAATCGATCCTATTTTTGCCGGACGCCGGCGCACCTCCGCAATAAATGGACAGAAATCACAAACGCCCAACAGGAAAAGGAGCGAGCACAACTTCCGTTTTTCACAATACATCGATAAACAAAAGGCGTTTTTTGTTTCATACGCACAGGTTTAACAACTTTTAACAACTATCAATGGCGGCTGAACTTAAAATGCACAAAAGTAAGCCATAAATACAGTTTCCACTATCAAAGTAGTCACACTTTGTTGATCCAAACACTGCTGATCTCTCTACACAAATGATGGGCAGATTAAACAGTTCATGTCGATGCTTCTCCCACACAACGGGTGTTTGGATCTGACTTCCACGTTTATTGCTCGGACTGTATCGCAAGATCTCGAAAATCCCGCGCATGCTTGTTTGCCCACCTCAGGTCTCCGCACCGGAGCGGAGCCGTTGTAGAGCGGGTACCAGTAAAAATTGAGTTCGGAAGCGAGCGGCTGCGGAGGGCGGGGGCGGAGCGGAGGTAGTGGAATTTGGGGGTAAGTTTGTCAACCCCCTGGTGGCCCCCTGGTGGATTGGGGGCCCCAAGAAATCACTTGCCCCATCAGCCGGCTGGCATGCTGCATCTCCTGGCATGAGTCATCAAATGAAGATCAGTCTCCAGTCCCTCTATGGGACAAGGAGTTTTTTGGATGAGATGCAGACTTCCCACATTACATCTGATCTGATCATCAGTGTGTGAATGAATTTCATGTGTCAATGCAAACATGTTCTTGTCAGAGGGGGCATTTTACTTTGTAGTGTCTTGTTTTCCTTATTTAAGCCGCTGCTGTTGTGTCCACTGCACCTTTATGAAGCTCTCAGAATGAGTTGTCATTTATTATTCTGGTAATTTAAAGAAATGTCCTCGGCGTCTCGTCCTTCCACAGAAAATGTATGACAGGAAGTCAGTCCTGATGACGGATGGTAGAGCGACCTGAGCTCCTCCTGGGCGCCGTCCAGCACCAGTACGTTAATGGTTGGAACCGCCCGCCCCGACCTTCATTACTGCCCACGCAGACACAGCCTGGTGATCACCGGTGCCATGGGAGCGGTGCGGGTCAACAGGTACGGATGTGGGGGTCAGGTGTCTGTCAGTAAACACAGATCAGCCAGCATTCACAAAGCCCGACTCAATAGTTTAGCACATACTAAAAATTTTATACAAATTAAACTCAAGCTTAGACTCCAATGACTGATGTTGGGGCTGTGGCGAATAAACCACGTCTGACACGTCCACCTTAAAAAGTGGAGCTTACATTTTTGTCTGTTCAAGTCATTAATCACTGGATTTGTTTTTATCAGAAAGTCTTCATTACACAAACATCTACAGCAGGGTTCACCAACCTGAGAGCTACTGAGCCATACGAAGATACAAAACTGACCTTTGAACTGGAATAGATCAGAGTTAAACTCGACTTCATGTATAATAAACATAACTGATTGTTTTTAAAAGAATGTTGTAGTTTTTAATCTATATTCAGTCATTAGTGATTAAAAGAGGGCTGCAGATGTTTTGTTTATTGTAGACTTGGTGCTATTTAGATAAAACGCCATCTTATATAGTTCCTGGGGGCACCAGGTTGGTGGCCCCGATCTTCAGCCTGGAGCCTCTTTCACTCGGAGCGCAGAACAGATGTGGTCCGGTTTCCGTACGGCTTCCTCACAGATCAAAAGTCATTAAGTCTAGTCAGAGCATTCTCACCGACTACGGTGTGGATCATGGATGTGGAACTCTGGAAAATTTCTGGACGGTGTCTATTTTCTCCTTACTCTGCTTGCGGATCATCTTGAAGTTAAAGAAATGACATGAGCCAGACAGGAAATGAGACGTGAACGCGAGGTACATCCAGCTTATTTCAAAACAAAACTCGAGCCACATATTTTTGCCATCTTTTGTTTTATTGTTGATGATATCAGTTCACAGGGTTTGATGTTTCACGAACCACTTTCAGTGTGAATCACAGTCTGTCTGGATGCCGTCCAGAAACCGGACCACCTCCAGAAACTGGACTGCCTCCAGAAACTGGACCACCTCCAGAAACTGGACCACCTCCAGGGACTGGACCACCTGCAGAAGCCGGACCACGTCCCGAAACCGGACCACCTCCAGAGACTGGACCACCTCCAGAAGTCGGACCACGGCCGGAAACTGGACCACCTCCAGAAACCGGACCATCTCCAGAGACTGGACCACCTCCAGAAGCCGGACCACGTCCGGAAACCGGACCACCTCCAGAGACTGGACCACCTCCAGAAACCGGACCACCTCCAGAAGTCGGACCACGGCCGGAAACTGGACCACCTCCAGAGACTGGACCACCTCCGGAAACCGGACCACCTCCAGAGACTGGACCACCTCCAGAAACTGGACCACCTCCAGAGACTGGACCACCTCCAGAGACTGGACCACCTCCAGAAACTGGACCACCTCCAGAGACTGGACCGCCTCCAGAAACCGGACTACCTCCAGAAGCCGGACCACCTCCAGAGACTGGACCGCCTCCAGAAACCGGACCACCTTCGGAAGCCGGACGGCATTCTGTGTCAAACAGGCTTGACATTCCGTTCCCATTCCAGGCGGCCAAATATCTATTCAGTCAAATTTTAACAATGTTGAAATAAAGTTTCATTAGGTGGCATTGTAGCTAAAGTCCTTTATTCATTCACTCATTTATGATGAGTGCTAACAGATATGATTATTGCTAAGATGAGATCAAAACCTTAATAATGTCGTCATTTCTCAATATGAGACTTTCATTTTATCAGCTGAATTTTTTATTAAACGGATGGATTCAGTCGACTTTAGGTTAATTTAAGTAGATCTGCAGAAACTGGATTACTCCTGATAGCTTCACACCTTTCTTTGTGCCACATCAGTAAGTGAAATACATTTTTTAGTGACTGATGTTTTTTTTTACACTTTTCCGTCTTTTAACCATGCACTGAAGTAAAGATTGGTCCAAGCTTCTCACATGTCCTTTTCTGACCCTCTTGTAATAACAACCAGATTTCCTAAGACACCGATGGTTAAAATTGATTAACTACCAAGATGGCGCCAGTGTTACTGGCTTGCCGTCTGTCAGCTTCTGTATTTTTTTGTGTTTTTGCAAATTTTAGCTTGTGTTTTGCATGATGCCCAACCCAGAATTGTGTATGATCGCCAGACCTTATTCAAAATCTGTTCTTCTGCTGGATTTTTACCGTCTACGGCTGAAGAGTTCAGGAATAATTCTCCCCCTTACCTGGATGGACTGACGGCATGTTGGGAAGCTAAGTGGTTACCGCCGTGCTGGAGGAGGAAACGTAGGAAACGGGGTTCTCGTGGGGGACGACTTGTCAGGTGGAAAGCCTTGAAGAATGTCTTTACTGGTGGTTCTCGTACGATCCTGTGGGCAGCTACAAAATTTGTGGTGCCATGGCGAGTACTGGATCTGGTTGGCTCGTGGCTCATCCCTGTTGCCGGCTGTCCAGGTGAATGCTGTGGTCGTCCCCCTTCTTCCCAGCGGTTTGATCAAAGAGGAATCAACTTGCTGAATCTTCAACCAGTGAATAGAGCTCCAACTATCATTGGAGCTAATGCGTCATCTTGTTTGAGGTGGGGCCTGGTCAATGCTAGGTCAGTGGCTAGCAAGACGTTCATTTTAAATGATTTTTTTGTTACACATGGTCTGGATATTCTTTGTGTAACGGTGCCATGGATTACTCCTGGTGAGTCCTTTGCCCTCAATGAACTAGTTCCGGCTAACTGTGTTTCTATCAATGTTCCGAGGGCTAAAAGGCATGGAGGGGGCCTAGTAGTTGTATACAAAGCTAATGTCAAGATTAAAAGACTTATCCCATGGTCCTCTAACAGCAGTTTTGAACTGTGTTTGTTTGAACTTGGTCACCATCAACAGCCACTCCTCTGCGAGGTGGTCTACCAACCCCCAAAATACAGTAAGGATTTCTTATCTGAGTTCAGTGAATTTTTGGTTAATTGTGCATCTCATTATGATCAAATTCTGCTAATGGGAGATTTTAATATTCATGTTTGTTGTCCTGGAAAACCGCTGGTCACAGATTTTATTAATCTCATGAACTCTTTTAACTTTATTCAAAATGTTAAGGGGGCCACTCAGGTATGTGGTCACACATTGGACTTTGTTTTGTCATTTGGATGTACCGTGTCTAACCTTTGTGTTCATGATGCAGTCTTTTCTGACCCTAAGCCGGCATTATTTGATACTAACATGGGTGAGAGTATGCTGAAATCTGTTCCTCCAGTTACACTTTCTCGCTCTGTGAATTCAGCTACTTCAGGACAATTTTTATTTTTATTCAGTGAAGCTGTGCTTCATTTATCAGATGGGAGAAGTCTGGATGGCCTGCTAAGCTGTTTTAACTATATTAGTAAGGGCATTCTGGACACTATTGCACCTCTTCAAATAAAGAAGGGAAATCGTGCTGCTAAGTCATGGTCAACTGAGCTCACGCAGGCTGCAAGACGGGAATGCTGGAGATGTAAGAGAAAATGGAAAAGGGACAAACGTTTAAGGAAGTCTTTCATGGAATAGCACCATTAATATTGAAAGTTATTGGTCTCTGGCTATGTCCCAATTGATTTTAAAAAGACGGTTATTAACCCGCTGTTAAAGAGATCGGGGTTAGATGTTATGCAGCCTTGCAATCACCAGCCGATTGCGAAGCTCCCTTTTCCGAGTAAAATTCTGGAAAAATGTGTCTATACTCAGTTAATGGATTTCCTAGAAGAGTCTAACATTAAGGAAACTTTTCAGTCTGGCTTTAAAGCTTTTCATAGTACGGAAACGGCACTGATAAAGGTATTAAATGACATTATGTTGGAAACTGATCGGGGAAATCCTGTGCTACTTGTTTTGTTGGACCTTACAGCCGCGTTTGACACTGTGGACCACGAAGTGTTGCTCCATCGTTTGGAATATAATGTAGGGATCTCTGGTCTGGCCTTAGACTGGTTCAGATCTTATTTGAAGGACAGGACTGTAAGTGTAAGGATGGGTGGGTTTAGTTCTGGATTCACACACCTGCGGTGGGGGAGTCCCACAGGGTTCAATATTAGGACCTCTATTGTTTTTGATTTACATTTTGCCACTGGGGGACATCATGACGATTGCCAACTTTACTTACCCTTGGATTATAGAAGCGACTGTCCCATTATTACCGTAATGCACTGTCTAACTGAAGTTAAGTCATGGTTGATGGACAATTTTTTATATCTGAATGAAAGCAAGACTGAGGCAGTGCTGTTTGGGTTACATCGTGATTTAGAGCGATCAAAACTAGATTGTAGGGACATGAATGCCTACCTACGTTCTTCGGCAGCCAACTTAGGAGTGACATTAGATAACGCTTTCACCTTTGATGCACATGTGGGTGCGGTTGTATCGTCCTCCTTTTACCACTAGTGACGCCTGGCCAAAGTGAAGTCATTTTTAACTAGAAAGGACCTCGAGAATGTTGTGCATGAGTTTATCACCTCTCGTTTAGACTACTGTAACTCCGTCTTAACTGGGGTGAGACAGAGTACAGTAGCTCGTTTGCAGCTTGTGCAAAACGCCGCGGCAAAATTCCTAGAAGGGAAAAGGAAATATGATCATGTGACACCCATCCTGGCAGATCTGCACTGGTTACCGGTCGCTTTTAGAGTGCGTTTTAAAAATCTTTCATTGGTTTTTAAGGCACTGAACGAGATGGCACCAGAATATTTATCTGACTTGTTATACCCATACATACCTAGTCATTCGTTCCGCTCAGAGAGTCACCATATGCTTCTAGTCCCCGCAACTAGGCTCAAAACAAGAGGAGATGGGGCTTTTTCAGTAGCAGGCCCAAAATTATGGAATGATCTTCCATTATCTGTGCGACTCTCCACGTCAGTAGAGGTTTTTAAGAAGGCGCTGAAGACCCATTATTATAATCTGGCTTTTAAATCTGTGTGATAACTGATGTTGTTTTGTATTTTGCTGTTTTTTTATTTTTTTTTTTATTTGGTTTCCTATATATTCTTTGTTTTTATCTTTTTTAGTTTAGTCTTGTTCAGCACCTTGGTGACATAATATGTCTGTAAAGTGCTTTTGTAAATAAAGGTGATGATGTTGATGATAATCTCCTCATGAAGAACCGTCTTTTAGGAGGCTGCACACAAGTGCCTTTCTCACTCATTGCCAAACTCAAACTTTAACACAGTTGGTCAAATTGTTGCTTAGCAACAGTAGCTATCTATTTCGGTCTGTTCAGACCACTTTGCACATTTCTAAGTAAAGCAGAGTGAATATGAAACTGTGGTTCATCATCTACAGAGCACATTTCTGTAAAAGAACAAAAACATCTGGTGTTGACATTAAATGTTATAACATAAACATTACATATTTCTCTGCATTCTAGCTTTGATTGCCGTTGGATTATGTCGGGGTTTCCAACCCTGGTTCTCTAGGGTCCCTATCCAGCACGTTTTAGTTGTTTCCCTGCTCAACTCACCCGATTCAGTAACTCCGCAGAAGCCTGTTAATCACCCACCGCTTAATCAGCATGTGTTGACACAGAGAAATCTCTAAAATAAGCTTTATTTTTCTTCGCTGGGCCAACGTTGAATTTATCCAAAGGGGATGTATGCAAAACTCACTTTTTGGGACAGCAGCTCAGGAGGTAGAGCGGGTTGTCCAGTAATCAGAAGGTTGTAGGTTAGATCCCGGCTCCCACCAGAGAATGCTGCTGTTGTGTCCTTGGACAAGACACTTAACCCACCTTGCCTGATGGTGGTGGTCGGAGGGATCGGTGGCGCCTGTGTTTGGTGTGCCCCAGGGCAGCTGTGGCTACATCGTAGCTCATGACCTGTGTGTGAATGGGTGGATGACTGATCGTGGAGAAGTGCCGGGGGGGGGTTGTAGAATCCTCAGAAGGCAAATACAGGCCACTTTTGAGCTGCCATGTAAGTTCTACTGCCCAAAAACATTCCAAACATGAAAAAATAAACTTTACTTCTATGAGCCATTTTAATGATCCTCATTGTGATGTCACAACAATGGAAATTAGCTTAGAGCACCCCACCACAAACACACACACACACACACACACCTGTTGACACTAGACGAACAACAGCTCTACTCTGAGCCCCACCCCCCACCCCCGATTTCTGAGCTGCACACTTCATAGCAGCCAATCAGGGGATGGGTGGGCGTGGCCAACAACAGCTTGTTTTAGACAGAGCCCTGAAACTACTCATTCTGTAAGGTACTGAAAATGTCAAGAATTAAACTGGAGAAAGCGCTTCGTGTGTGATGTAAAATCTTAAACCTAAACCGCAAAAAAGTTTCAGTCTCTAATATTAATAGTTATTTTATTTTATTTTTTGTGGCTGTGTTTAATAAGATATTCAGAGCTTAGAAATATGTTTTTAAATACTTTTTATTATTATTTTATTTTTGATGCAGTTATTTACATCATAAATCAACCACATCAGTAACTAATGAAAAACCCAGGTGTTGTAGATTAAATATGATATCAAATCCTCAAATCCTCTATTTGCCTCTGTCTTTCCTTCTTTTCAGATACAGCATCGTTTCCACCGAAGAAGATGTCCTGAAGATCTCCAGCTTGGGCCTTCACAATAGCCAAAGTCCTCTGACACTGCAGAAACCGTCAGGCGCCTGCATGCTAGGTGAGGAAGGAGGAGGAGGAGCAGGCGGGCAGTGTCCAGGAAGTGAAGAAGGGCGTGGAGCTTTGCCTTTGAGGCTGACAAATGAACCCATCCATCATAGCAGCTGCCGCTCTTCCCCTTCGTGCCGCCTGGACCTGGAAACCAGGCGCTTGCGCACTCGCTTCGTGAAGAAGAACGGCCAGTGTAATGTGGTTTTCAACAACATGGAGGACAAACCACGGAGATACCTAGCTGACATATTCACAACCTGTGTGGACATCCGCTGGCGTTACTTGTTGCTCATCTTCACCACCACCTTCCTGCTGTCATGGCTGCTGTTTGGACTAGTCTTCTGGGGAGTGGCCCTCGCTCATGGAGACTTTAACCTATACGTTCCTGTGAAGGACAGGGATTCTTGGGCTACCACAGAGGAGGGGAAAGAGGAGTGGCGGCCATGCATCCTCCACGTTCAGGGTTTCATCGGGGCATTCCTCTTCTCCATAGAGACCCAGACCACTATTGGATACGGTTTCCGGTGCGTCACTGAGGAGTGCCCAATCGCCGTTGTGACTGTGGTGTTGCAGTCCATCGTCGGCTGCATAATTGACTCTTTCATGATCGGCACCATCATGGCAAAGATGGTTCGGCCCAAAAAGAGGGCCCAGACCCTGCTGTTCTCTCACAATGCCGTCATCGCTCTACGGGACGGTAAGCTCTGCCTCATGTGGCGACTAGGGAACATGCGCAAGAGCCACATCGTTGAGGCCCACGTGCGCGCTCAACTCATTAAGCCTCATGTGACAGTGGAGGGGGAGTACCTGCCGTTAGAGCAAACGGACATCGATGTTGGCTATGACGACGGATTGGATCGCTTGTTTCTGGTTTCGCCTCTGGTGGTTGTCCATGAGATCAACAAATCCAGTCCTCTGTACAACCTGAGCCGCAGTGACGTGCAGAAGGAAGACTTTGAGATCGTGGTCATTCTGGAGGGAATGGTGGAGGCCACGGCGATGACCACTCAGGCCCGCAGCTCCTACTTGGCCAGGGAGATCCTCTGGGGTCACCGCTTTGAGCCTGTTGTGTTTGAGAAGGGCGACCGCTATCATGTGGACTATTCCCGCTTCCATAAGACTTATGAAGTGCCATCTACACCTCACTGCAGTGCCAGGGAACTGAGCCAGAGAAAAGGCCAAACGTCGTCCTCCAGTTCCAGTTACTCCCAGTCTCCATCGCTGTTTGCTCCGAGAGCAGCGAGGCGCCTTCAGGGCTCTCACTCCCCCAGCGCTTTCTGCTATGAGAACGAGGTAGCTCTGTGCTGCGGAGACGATGACGAGGGTGCAAAAGAGGAGCTGGAGAGGCTAAACGTAGGAACTAAAAGGGAGGCGAAAATGAGAGATGACATTCATTTAGATTTCAAGGGGGCGTTTGTGAAGGAGCAGACGGTGGAGATGTTGTGTGTTCTGGACACTGAGAACCAGATCAGCCTTGACAGACTACAGCCCAGCCTTCCTTTATACATCAGCAGAGAATCAGGAGTTTGATCCGTGAATTTGATGCTCCTTCACTTTGTTTTCGCTCTTTGCATCCAACCAAAGCTCTGAACTGGGTTTTAAAAGATGGAGGACTCGGTTTAACCTGTGTGGGTGTGAGGGTTGTTGCTAATCCTAATTACTTTGGTTTCAGGTCACAAACTATGACGGTGTGTTAGAGCCACGCAGAAGAAAATCTAAATTTTACTTACAAAAAAGCCAAAATTATGTTATTTACATTAGGAATTGCCTTTTTTAACTGAAGACTCTATCTAAAAATAACAAGTAGAGGTGATTAAACCAGAATCCACTTCCTCTAATCCTTCACAATAAAAGTCTTAAAGAGTAGGTTTACTGAACGCTGTATTTTTAATGATTATTTCTGGTTATAGTCAGTCACTCTGAGTGTTTCATGCAGGCTGAACGTGAAAATAGTCTCCTACACCTTTCTCCTGCATTAACGTCTGATAGAAAATGGACGGTGAAACTCTGGGATTAGAAAAGCCTGACAAATCTACATCACTCTGTCACCTAATATTCATGGACTCACCCATCTTGACTCATGACGGGGAAAGCTGTCGTTGGTTTAGTGTCCAGGAAACAGCAGAGGACATCTCGACTAGTAGAAGCTAACTGTTAACATTAGCAACTTCACCTCACAGCAGAACTCCTCCAGGCTTGTGTTATTTGTGGAGATAAAACATCAGTGTTGCTAAGCAAAGACTCCAAATCCTGCCATCTTCTGCCACTTTCTCCTCAGGCTGACTACTATGTCCCCCGCACTGGAGCTTTTTTTTCCCTAAAGAACGACTTACATCGCATTCATTCCCACTAGAGACCACTGCAAAGGTATAAAAAGATGAGTAAAGTCAGCGTTCGTTTACGGGCAAGCTAAGGGGGCTCCCCTGGAAGCCCTCGACCCACACACCCTGAGTGCGCCCGAAAAAATTTTAATCTCAGAGTTACAATTTTATTCTTGAAATAAAAATTTTTGCAACATTTCAACTCTTTTTTTTCTTCTTAGTAGACTTAAAACTCCGTCATACTTTAAGTGATAAAATCAGCATGTTTAAAACCTCTCGGTGAACCACGATGACCCCGATTAACAACACTCGATTGCTTTTGTCTTGATTTTTTCGGTATAACAGTTGTGTGATCTCTATCTATCTGATGTTTTCTGTTGTTGATTTTCAGTCTTTATGTAAATATATGCTTTTATTTTCATTATTTTGAATCATATTGAGGAAAGGACATTTCATTCATTGAAAAGGAGGAAAAACACTAAAAGTTTTTATTTTTAGCTTCATTTTGATGGTCGATCTCCCTGCCTGAGATTCTTGGACTAACCGATAAGTATTTTTTTTGTCCCTCACAGAACGTTCATTGATGAAAAACAAGCAAGTAAAATAACCCGGGACTTAAAGTCAAACCTGTGCAGATGAAAAACAAGCACTTTACCCACTGTGCAAAGTTACGTTGCATCGACGTCTTTTCCAGGTCATTTCTGCGCATCCAGATTAGGTCCCCTGAAGGTGCAGACTGTGACGCCAGATGATGTCTTCTTTATGACGTCTTCTGGGCGTCCAGATGTGGGTATATTCTGCTTCAAATTCGGTCGTTGTTTACGTTCTTCGCACATCACCCAAACACGTTGAAGTGACGTCCTTTCATAGTCGTTTCTGCATGATAAGTTTTGGTTCCCTGAAGTTGAAGACTGTGACGCTAGGTGACGTCTTTTCATTCGTGTCCTCAGGATGTCCAGATATGGGCTGATTCTGGTCTGATTTTGGCCTCTGTGGATGTCCTTATTTCACCCAGACACGTTGCAGCGACGTCTTTTCTAGGTCATTTCTGCACTTTCAGTTTTGGTCCACTCAAGGTGCAGACAGTGACTTCAGCTGACATCCTGTATTTACATCTCCAGGTCCTCATTTGGACTGAGGCCTAGTCCACACGTAGCTGGGGTTTTTTGAAAACGAATATCCGCCCCTCCAAAAACTTGCATCCACACCACCGCGTTTTAAAAACAAACTCTGTCCACACGTACCCGGATAAATACGTTGTTAAGGACATGCCAGACCTGTAGGCGGCAGTACTTCCCCCGTTCTTAACCTCGTCCTTCCTCTGTGGTCTTCCGCAAGGAGCAGTAATTCCGCTTGCAAAAACAAACAAGCAGAAAGCGCTTGGACAATTGATGGATCGGGTAGTGACAGAGCGCAGCTCTGAGGGCTTCCATGCTGTCGGCTAGTGTAAACACAGGTCGCACACGTGATGTCAGCATTTTTTTGGTTGCGGAAAGTGACGTTGCGGATCTTAAAACTCCGGTTTTGTCCGTCCACACGCAGACACTCAAAACGGAGAAAACGCAGATCTTCACTTTGGCCGGAGTTTTTAAAAAGATCCGTTTTCGTGTGAAAAAACTCCGTTTTCGTGTGGATGACAGGCCAAAACGTAGAAAAATATCTACGTTTTGGCAGATCCCCGGCTACGTGTGGACAGGGCCTAATTCTAGTCATGCTAATTTCATGCTAATTTTAGACAGGTTTATGAACGCCTGACTTACTGGAACTACACCTACACATAAAATGCTACACAAATAAATCAAGCCCACCAATTTTATTTAATACACACACACACACACACACACACACACACACACACACACACACACACACCTGTTGATCAAATGCTTAATTTAACGTTAGTGATGAGTTCCTGAGAGGCTCCACCACATCTCTGCTGCATGTTTCAGGTGCTCTGGCATCTGCTTTGGGCTATTTTATGACTCTGTCTGCACAAGTTCAAAAAGACAAGTTATTAGAAATATCAGCACAACCTGCAGTCATTTCCCAAAGTCAACATTAAACCTGAAACACTGGAATAAAGACACAGTTGAGCACTATTATGTCAACATCCCTAAAAGCAGAGGTGTGACCAAGTCACTGCTTTGCAAGTCACAAGTCTTTCCAGTCAAGTCTTGAGTCAAGTCCAACTCAAAGACAACCAAGTCGAGTCCAAAGTCAATGATGTGAAAGTCCAAGTCAATTCCAACTCCTTAACTTTGAATTTTCAAGTCATATTCAAGTCATCTGTCCAAGTTCAATTTAATGACAATGATATTAAAACTGTAGATTTCAGAAATAAAGCTTCTTAAAGCTTTTTTTTTCATTTATTGACATTAAAATAAAAATACAGAACTAAATTGCTAGAAACCAAAATGAAAAAGGGGACGGAAAGAAGAAAAACTTATGTTATCTGCCCCTTTTCTTCATTTATTTGCTCCAACATGCAGATAGTGCACCTGAAATTGATTATAAACAAAGAGCTGATGCATGTAGCCGTGCAAGATCAAACCCGGATTTTTGTCCATGTCGGGCCACTTTTGTGCTAAAATAGCAAATATGCTCAAGTCATCATCAAGTTTATTCAAGTCGCAAGTCATTGGCATTCAAGTCCGAGTCAAGTCGTAAGTCTTCATAGATTTTATCAAGTCAAGTCAGAAGTCATTAAAATAATGACTCGAGTCCAAGTCATGTGACTCGAGTCCACACATCTGCCTAAAAGCCTTAAAAAGACTGTTAATCAGTCACATGGGAAATGCTAACGCTAGCATAGCAAACTTGTTTTAGCTAACACCGTTGGAAAGAGAACTACCAAAACAACAGCTTTGGATGATTTAAGGTACAAAACTTAACACAAGTTAACAAAACATGAACTGACTTGAACAAACTTACCTTCAACCTACTGGAAGTGAACTCCAAACTTAGTCAAACCATCCCCTTCCTTTTGCTCCCTCTTCTTCTTTGAGATTTTAAAGCGGTTGTCAAATAATGTGAGAGATATAGATAGATAGATAGATAGATAGATAGATAGATAGATAGATAGATAGATAGATAGATAGATAGATAGATAGATAGATAGATAGATAGATAGATAGATAGATAGATAGATAGATAGATGGATGGATGGATGGATGGATGGATGGATGGATGGATGGATGGATGGATGGATGGATGGATGGATGGATGGATAGATAGATAGATAGATAGATAGATAGATAGATAGATAGATAGATAGATAGATAGATAGATAGATAGATAGATAGATAGATAGATAGATAGATAGATAGATAGATAGATAGATAGATGGATGGATGGATGGATGGATGGATGGATGGATGGATGGATGGATGGATGGATGGATAGATAGATAGATAGATAGATAGATAGATAGATAGATAGATAGATAGATAGATAGATAGATAGATAGATAGATAGATAGATAGATAGATAGATAGATAGATAGATAGATAGATAGATAGATGGATGGATGGATGGATGGATGGATGGATGGATGGATGGATGGATGGATGGATGGATGGATGGATGGATAGATGGATGGATGGATGGATGGATGGATGGATGGATAGATAGATAGATAGATAGATAGATAGATAGATAGATAGATAGATAGATAGATAGATAGATAGATAGATAGATAGATAGATAGATAGATAGATAGATAGATAGATAGATAGATAGATAGATAGATAGATAGATAGATAGATAGATAGATAGATAGATAGATAGATAGATAGATAGATAGATAGATAGATAGATGGATGGATGGATGGATACTTCAGTTTATTGAAATTATAAATCATGTTTTATTTCTATTTCATATTGATTCCAGTATAAATACGTTTAAAAGCCAAGAAACAATATTTTGTAGAAAAGACATGCACAACAACCTCCTTTGGACTAGAATTAGCTCATATCTGTTGGTTCTGGGGACGTCAAAACTGGAAGCCCAGACGACGTTGAAAAAAGACGTCATCTGGCGTCACAGTCTGCACAGTGGACCAAAAAATGAAGGTGGGAAAAATTACCTGGACATGAGGTCACTGAAACGTGCCTAAGTGACGTCCACAGGCCCTCCACAACGACCTCCTTTGGACCAGATTTAGCCCATATCTGAAGGCCATGGAGACGTCAATACCGGAGGTAAACAAGACGTTGATGGAAGACGTCATCTGGCATCACAGTCTGCACCTCCAGTGGACAAAAACTGGATGTGCAGGAATGACCTGGAAAAGATGTCGCAATGACGTGTCTTTGAGCAGTGAGCAACAATATTTTTGTTGTTACTTGCACCTGTTTTAGACGTGCCTATGACATCCAAAAAAGTTGCGTAACCCAAGGTCCACGTTTCGCGTTATATTGACATCCAAGTGGGGTCATAACTAGACGTCCAAATAATGGACCTGGTTTGCATGTCCAGCACACATCTTGGTCTGGACTGACGGACTTAATATAGACTCTAGCTGCACGTCCATTTGACTTTGATTGGTGGGTATTTAAACTTTTATCAGTAACTACGAACACTTTGAAATTGTGGTTTTGTATGAATAAAACACTCATTAAACCACAGTTTTACCATCTCACCCATCTTTGTCTCTGTGCCTGTCTAAGCTGACCTTTTTACTGAGCTTAATGTCCAGTTTTTCTGTTAGTTTTTGACACCTGCAAGCAAGGTGTGATATTTTGTCACTTAACAAAACTCACTTAACCCTCCCACTGTCTTCATGGGTGACCCCGCGAGGAAAGTTGACCATTGAGCAGGATTGATGGTTTATCCCTTGAGGTCCACGTGGCAGGGGTGAGGTGGTGCTCACTCCTCACCCCTGCCACATGGACCCAAGGGATAAACCATCAACCCTGCTCAAAGTTCAACTTTCCTCGTGGGGTCACACACATTAGGACAGTGGGAGGGTTAAGGATGTGGTCTACGAGTGATGTCATCAAGGAGAGGAGGTGGAGATTTAGAAATTTTAACAGCAATAGCTCTGCCTCTGCCCCACTCTTTCTGGAACTGAAAGCAACGCCTCATATTGTGCCCACGAAGGGAAAGCACAGTCAACAGAGAGAGCTAAAACAATACAATGTTGCCAACTCGGCGACTTTATCGCTGTTCCTAACGACTTTCAGACCCCCTCAACAACTTTTTTTCCAAAAAGCGCCTAGCGACAAACCTAGCGGCATTTATATTGCCAGCAGAATTGCAAGACAGCCTGCAGCGTGCTAAGAAGAAAATGAGACTGTGCATGTGCATGAGGATGGTCACGTTACATCGACTGACCAATCACAAACCTTTCTTTGCTGGGCCGACGTGAAAGGTACAGCTGCAGAGCTGGAGGCCACCGATTTATATCTTCTGCAGGTTTACGCTTCTACTGCTTGGTGGCACAAACGTGATTTCGCTGTCTCTGAGTCTGCAGCTGTCTGATGTTGCCTGCATTTGGCAAATAAAGTAAGCGAGAGTTTGAACCACCATCCCGTTAACACACGCTGCTCCGTGGCTCTTCAGGGATGCGGGACACCCACTCCCTTTTGCTCGGTGCATCGGTGTGCGCCGTTATTGTGTGTGTATATGAATATAATATAGAATGCTTAGAATGCCAAGATGGTGCAGTGCAAGAACAATGTTTGTTAGTGTGGGTGTACCTACAAGCCCTGCAGTTAGACAGAATCTCATGTGCAGTTGTATGTGTAGATTAAGGGACTCTAAGAACAATATAATCCTGTCCCTGAAAAACCCCACATGGAGTTCTGTCATGTTTTATTCTAACATGTGGAATTATTGGCGTCATAAACTTTATGTGAGCCTAAAATAGTTGCACATTTTTTTAACCTATTTTACTTATTTCTGTGTTTTATTATCTGTTTTGGTCTTTATTGTGTCTTTAATAAAGTGATATACATATATGTATATATATATATATATATATATATATATATATATATATATATATATATATATATATATGTATTGTGTCTTTAATAAAGTGATATACATATATATATATATATATATATATATATATATATATATATATATATATATATATATATATATATATATATAGTTCAGAGTCTGGGGGCCACAGCAGCAAATATATATATATATATATATATATATATATATATATATATATGTATATATATATATATATATATATATATACATATATATGTATGTATTGTGTGAGTGTATTTATACAGTATATATACCACATGGTGTGTGTGTATACATACACAGTATATATACATACTGTATACACAAATATGTATACATATATACATATGTATATAAAGATAAATATATATGTGTGTATATACTGTATGTATACACACACACACATATATATGTTTATGTGTGTGTGTGTGTACTATATATATATATATATATATATATATATATATACAACAAAAACATACATGACAGTTAGAAAAAGTCCAGAACACCCAAAAGACAAGACATCATCAGAGCAAATGTGTGGAGTCATGTACGAACTGCCGTGCAAACGCTGCAATAAACCATACACAGGAGAAACCGGACGCCAACCCAACACGTGGAAAATAGAACACAGACAGGAGTGTGAGAAGGAAGCAAGTCGAACACACACAAGAGCAACAAAGCAAGCAGCAGAAAGTACCATAAAGAAATCAGCTGTGGCAGACCACTGCACATGGGAGAAACATATAATGGAGTGGGACGGTGCACGGATCATGAACAGAACACAGAAATTCAAAAGATGGATCAAAGAAGCAACTGAGATAAAGAAAGAAAGAAAGAAAGAAAGAAA